CCGATACTGTAACAGCCAATTATGTGCAATTTTGGTTTCGTAGATTCCGTTCAGGAATTTTTGATGTTAAAGATGCACCACGCACAGGTAGGCCGGTCGTCGAAGTTGACCGGCATGTTAGCAGTCGTAACATCGCCCAGGAGCTAAAAATCGGCCATAAAACAGTTTTAAACCATTTACACAAAGCTGGATTCAAAAAGAAGCTTGATGTTTGGATGCCACACCAATTAACAGAAAAAAACATGATGGATCGAATTTCCATCTGCGAAGCCTTGGCCAAACGGAATGAGATAGACCCATTTCTTAAACGGATGGTGACTGGAGATGAGAAATGGATCACATACGATAACCCTGTGCGAAAACGATCGTGGTCAAAGAGCGGTGAAGCACCTCAAACGGCCAGGAAGGTTTTGCTATGCATTTGCTGGGACTGGAAGGGGATTATTTATTATGAGTTGCTTCTATATGGCTAAACGCTAAATTCTGATCTCTACTGTCAACAACTGGACCGTTTGAAGATAGCGATTGACCAGAAACGGCCAGAATTGGCCAACAGGAGAGGTGTCGTGTTCCACCAGGACAACGCTAGGCCAAACACATCTACAGTGACTCGCCGGAGACTTCGGGAGCTTGGTTGGGAAGTTTCAATGCATCCGCCATACAGTCCGGACTTGGCACCAAGCGATTATCATCTTTTTCTTGCATTGCAAAATTTCTTTAATGATAAAAAATTGGAATCTAGGGAGGATTGTGAAAATCGACTACTAGAGTTTTTTGCAAATAGAGACCAGGACTTCTATGCGAGAGGCATCTTGAAGTTACCTTTAAAATGGCAACAAATCATACAACAAAACGGTGCATATTTGACCCAAATCGGACAATCCAAAGCATGTTAAATAAAGTCCTGAATTCATATAAAAATAATGGATTTCTTTTTCCCCAAACTAATAATCAAACTATAGCTTTTTCTACTTGTGTTTTGTGTACTATGTGTATGTTTCTGACTATGACTCACAAAATTGTTGTGTATCTGATTAACGAACAAACAGACGGATATGAATAATTGGCTTCGCAATCATACGCTGCTTCCTGCACCTGCATCCTTCGGTGAGCGTAAAGTATATGTTGTTTTGGATGCACTCCCGATTCCATATGCTATACAAAATCCTTATGTTGATTAGCGACGGCCATCTTCACTGCTTTCAAAACATCTTTTAAAGAAAGATAACTCGTTTCCTGATCTTCTAGTGTCCGCATTTACTTGGGAAAGAAGCAAAAAAGTCCGATTAACAATTTCCCTCCTCCGACTCAATAATCTTACATTTCACAAATTTTCTAGCGTAGGCATCAATAACACAGCACCATAATTATTAGGAGCAGTATGTGCCGTTATCTACTAGCAACTGTCCGAGAGATGTGCTAAATGATCTTCCGGAAGGGTGTTATGTGGCAATAAAATCTATCCACAAAAAGAAATTGCTTTCGATTACCAACCAATCCTGTAAACATTTTTCAAATCCCCGCAACTATTTGAGCCTCAGTGTTCAGTGTTCTCAGAGAGAGATCAAATTTGCCTTTCTTTTGATAGATTTTATCAACTACAAAAATTTTTGTTATTGCATTTTTTTATTCTTTAACAAATTTCCTGAAAAATTACATGCAATTTCTCATACACTTCCCCATCATCTTAACCAACTTTGCCTAAGCATTATTCTTCGTCATATAATAAAATATCACATATAACTTCAAAAAAAAAAAAAACAAAAAAAGCCAAGAAAACCTACATACATTTAGGCGTTAGTGAGACATTGTGCGTGTGTGTATATGTATTTGTTTGTGTGTTTGAATAAATGTAAATACTAAACGCTAAAAATATTCAGTGTTAACAAAATAATGATTACGTTAAGATAACATTAAACACTCGACACACAGACAACTTAACAAATACAAAACAATCAATTCGATGTTATAAGCATTTCCTATTAACCTACTATGATACTCACATATACGCATATGACTAGAAGCCTCCATATGTGTAGTGTTTGCAAACTTTAACTCCCCTTCTTTAAATATTGACGGGAAAAAAAACAAAAAATAAAAAATAAAAAAAAAAAGAATCCACACTCCCAGCCATCATTGTCTCTCACCGCCCATCTCACACATGAGGGAAATATACGCAAATTTATCATAAAATTTTTGGCAGATTTCACACGATTTTACAAATAGAAAAATATAAAAATATCCTTGATTTCCTGCCACATATGAAAAATAGTAAATGATTTTTATCTACTTTACCGAAAGTTGTGGGTATGTTGAGTTCACAATGGCGTTTGCGTTGGCCAGAAATATCACTTATAGAATCTGCGGACTTTTGTTTATTTTATGAACAAAAGCTCTCTTTTGAGATTCATTGCTGTCAGGTGGGGCCAACCCTGCAAGACATAAGATAATGGTTGAGTAAGAGGCAGAAGAAGAGGGAGGCTTTGAGCAAATTATTCATCTATTTTCTCATCCTTAGTGTTGCTAGGAATATGTTGCAACATAGCCCCTCCCCCCCTTCTCCCGCGGCATCACAAGTAGAAGATCGGGAATATCCAGCTTTCATGTAAGCAAAGGCGATAGCTTTACACGACTTGGCATGAAAGCTTGATGTCCGTCGCACCCTAAGCAAGTATAAAAGAAGCAGACCTTTAAACTGCTAGTCTTTCTATGCATACGAGTTGTTAGCTTAAAAGTGCGAATGAGTAGCCATGTCGGTCAGTCCCTCTCGGGCTTAACAAATATAGAAGAAAAGTAATGCTAGTCTGGAAAGATCGTTTTCGCTGAATCTAAAAAAGGAATCCATATAAAGTTTAACAAAAATATAGCGGCATACGATGATTTTAAAGAGTTTCTAAGCGAGCGAAAGAAGGTGTTTGCTGTAAATGTATTAAAGAAAGAAAAGAGAGGAAAACCATCAACGTAGTCTCCTAGAAAGGATCTAAACAGCAACATGTGCTTAGTGGTCGTGCCACAAGGTAGTGGCTAGAAACATGAGTGCCCGCACTACTAAACGTGCACACTGAAAAAAACATATGCTTAAAGAGAGGGTATCTAAAATTCGCCAAAGGGCGAATAGAAAAATTTTTTTTTGCTTTTAAATTTTCACCTTCATGAAGCTTTGATCCCAAGAGACTAAAGCCGAGCGAGAGAAAAAAATACTTTAAAGTTATTTTATATTTTGTCCTTTTTTTGTCAAAAAAAAAAAAAAAAAAAAAAAAACATGAACCCAAATTTTGAATATTTGGAAACGATAGAAACTAATAAAAAAGCTATTAACGTTTCAAAGCAAATCTGTTTGCAAACACATGTCAACGTTTTCTGGTGGTGTCTTTGTCAGATTTTTCCACAAAATATCTTAAACAAATGTATTTTTGCATATGCCTAAAAACACTCGCAAAAAAAAAAAAATAAAAATAAATAAAAAAACTAATGTTGATATGTTACTCTCAACCCTATGTTGTTTTGCAAGCAGTTTTGAAATTCTTTCATGCCTACTAATGGGTTAATACATGGTGTATATGTGATATCATTCATTCATGGTTTACCGTTTACATTCACTTACATGTGTGTAATGGCCCACATACGTTTATGCATTCATGAACGATATGTGAGGGAGAGCTTTTTTTGCCCGGGGGCGACGAGGCAGATACCCTTTGCATATCAAGGCATACGTGAACATTTATACGGTGACTAACTGGTTGTGGTTTTTATCCTCACATATATCGCTGCCAACTGTTGCAATTGTCAGTGATTTGTGGTTTTTAAGCTTTTAAAGTTCACATACGTATAATGTAAATACAATTTCTTTCTTCCTCCCATATTTGAGGGTTTATAGGTTGGAAAATTTGTGAAATTTACATATGATATGTTGGATGACCTTTCTCAATATTTCATTTTTTTATTCTTTTCGCATTTTTTTTATTTTTATTTTTTTTATTTTTTTTTTTTTATTGAAATTGATACTTAGCTTAGATTATTGTTTGTATTTCGCATGCTAGTAAGGTATAAATGTTATTTGTACCTGGTATAGCATCTTTTTTTAATTTCGATTCATGCGAGTTTCGCCCGGGGGATGATTCGCCTTTTCGACTAATTAAAATAAGGGCTAATTTTCTTACAAAAAGAAAATCTTTGGTTAAAGCGATAAAATATCCCTCCGAATTCTTGGTCATTCGTAACCACCTACTTGTCCTGATAGGTTGCTTTAATTTTGCTTAGCAATATATTTTTTATGTAAGGTTTTTTTTTTCATCCGCCTGAACGGTCGAAGACGAGGAATCTTGACTAGCAACACAATGGTCGTGGGTTCGAATCTCAAGTGCGATAGGGTTTTTTAATAAAAGCCGATAGCTTTAGATGCTAGTGCTTTAAGAGTTTAGTCTTCGAATTCATTTCTCTGGCGAAATTCGTAATAATAATATGTAAGGGTTGCTATAACGCTATCCCAAAAAACGTTACACCTTCCCAAGTTGAAAACTCATATATTTAACTTTTGCTAATGCCGTTAAGGATGACGTTCTACTTCTATTATTAAGCTGAACACTATTTACATTACCTACCGTTCATCTTCTCTAGCTTTGCATTATCTTGGATGCAAATGAATGTACAGCTTGGATGGCGTCGTACCGCCGCAGAATTTTTTCATCACATCTTGCCTTCGTTTGACTTTTTTGGCATATAATCTTTTAGTCCCTGACATATAATCCTTTCAAAGTATATATGTATGTATATGTGCGTTGCTGCGGTGATTTTAAAAAGAAGTTCAGTTGTCCTTTAATCACAACTGTTATGAAGGTCGTCAAGGTGGTGCTGTGTCCGAATGCGCATTTTACTTTAAATATTTGTACGCAATAACGCGGGAGAAGCAATAAATTTTCTTCTTTCTTTTTATTTACATAAAATGTGAAAGAACTTTACAATCACAATCATATTATTTTTATATGTTTATTTATTTGCAGGTCTTCAAAAAAACTTGCGGACAAAGTGTTTGGAATTGTACAACAACAGCACATAAGAGTCTTCATGTTGATTCTTCTTAACACAAATACCGCAATTAAATTAAGTTTACAAGGAAAGTAAACAAAACTCTTGTTAAACCAACTATCTAACCTGCCTGCATTAAAAAAAAGAGAAGCCGATAGTCTTAGTTGCTCGTCCTCATTCTACGGCTAGCCCTAGAATTTATTTCTTTGTCTATGTAAATTATAATAATAAATAAACAAAAATTTAGATAAGTGCTTTTACGAGCTGAGTTTTTCTCTTAGAAAGTCTGATTTCATTGCATTATAGCCTTTTCATACTTAAGAGGATCAATTTTATTTATTACAAATAAATTAATTGTTATTTAAAATTATAATTTGCTAATAATATTTTAAATAAAACAAGAATATAATTAAAACCAAATTAATTTATTACATAATTATGTGGAAAGAGAAGAAAAGTTCACCACTACTTCAGGTGGCAGTTTCTTCAAGCGGTGAATATAAAAAAAAATTTACCATCACACCCGCTGTCTTAAAAGTAAAAGAACTAAAAAAATTATATGCGGTGGTGAACGAATCTTTTATACCCATCAGCGCTATTCGGTAAAAGAATTCAATTTTCATGCTCTATAATATGGAGTGGGCGTGGCCGATTTTTACTATTTTTAAAATAAAACTTTTTGTCACATAGGGATTGTGGACGTGTGCGTGGAAAAGTTTAAGCCACATTCCATATTCTTCTGTAAATTTGTAAGCGATATCTTCATTTTTGCTAAAAAGAAAATTACCACAGTTGGCCGGGCACATGGACAGACGGACATGCCTAGGTGCATTCCAAATTCGAAACTAGACAAGAATTTATGTACTTTAAGGGGATTTTGAAGCTTACTTCTTCACCTCATGTAGGTATTGATAAATATAACACAGTTTTATACGCTATAATATTGGGCGTGGTCAATTTCTTCCATTTTTGTAGAATGTGCATTCAAAGTTTTGGACATTTATCTACATATCTGAGTAATGACCCAAAAGCCCCTGCTTTTGAAAAACAGAGGTGTTCTTAGTTTACATGGCACTATGGGTATGTTCTTCGACCGATTTGCCTGAATTTCAAAGTCGACCTGTGTGCAAGAAATTCCTATGTTTGTGCCAAATTCGAAGCCGACCGTTTTATTTTTGCCATCAGGAGAAAGTTTATAGCAGACATTATACAGACGAACAATTGGACAGATGGACATTTTTAAATCGATTCAGAATTTGATGCCGATCATGCACTTTGTAGTGTCTCTGAATCTTCCTTCGGAGCGTTGCAAACCTTTTAACAAAATGGTTATAACTAACCCTCATCCTTCGGTAATGGGTGTGAAGATATTACTTTGAATTAGGCGCGTCGAACACGAACACATGTTACATACATGCTTTTGCTCCTCTAATCATTGTTGTTAATAACAACAAGTGTGTTCGTCCAGGACTATCTCTTATCATCTCTTTATTCTCATTACAATAGTGCAATGCAAACGTGTACTGTGTTAACTATTCGCGTAGATAATTATTTAGAGAAAAGATGTTATTTTACGGTTACTTACGAGTAGGGAGTGACGGGAAAATAAGATGAAAACGAACAAATAATTCGCGCTTCTCACAATTCCTGAGTTAATTGAACAACATCTTCGCTTAATAATGATTTTGCATTGATTACCGGTTTTGTATTTGATTTGTAGGAAGTACTTTGAGGAGGATGATTTTCAGTTGCGAGCATCGCCGTTGCTGCTGTTGTTAAGATTATGAAAATATTGCTGTCTTCGTTTCCGTAGAACTTGGAAGCGATGGCATCGATTTTCGTTCCATTCTTTACAAGTTCATTAAGGACGACTCGTGTGAAATGAATGAAACAGAATTGAGAAAAAATGGCAAGAGTTATTAAAAAGTGACTAGAGCCACGCAGGGCATGTGCGTGAAGAAAGCTGCAGATATAGTGTACATTCGGGGATTAGTTAGATTGTGAAGAGAATACGAATGTCGCGAAATTTCAACTTCGTTTGATATCTAATTTATAAGGTTTCCCAAAGATGTCATACACACAAATGCAAGATTATAACTGACCGATTTACTAACCACTAGTCGCGGCAACTAATCTTTCATGCATCCTTCGCGTTTAAAAAGATAAGTAAACAAAAAAAAAGAGCTTTTAATATTTATTATTAGCATACGAGTAGTTTTAATTTCCCCAATTTAAAGAAATGTCGTTGATCTTGCCTCCTTAGCAACATGCACGTGCACATATATATCTTCCCAAGCAACAACATAATAGATATTAACTTTCTCTTTCGGTTATTATACAATTTCACATGTATTCTAGTAACATTATATACATATAATGTAACATTATATATATATACATATAATGTAATGTATATATATATATGTATATATATATATATATATATATATATATATGTGTATACAAAAATGTCTAAAGAGAGAACTTGCCCGGCACTAAGAAGAAAAAGAAGAAGAGAACATTTTGCGCGCTTAAAAACACATGCATTCTGCATGCTAAACATATATATATATATATATTATTGTACACGTTCGTATACAATACGAAGCAATATGCAAAATCCTTGTACGGCTGTTGTCACTATTACGTTTTCTATTTACGATAGTAAATCAATGTGTTACAGAAAATTCGCAATGCTTTTTGTTGGTAGTGTCATTCAAACTGGTTTGCATTGGCAATGGTGGGTTTTTGTTAATTTGTCCTACATTTGCCAAATATATATGAAAATCCCTTCTTTTTTTTTTTTGCGCCTGTTTAGAAAGCATAACAAATTAAAACGCGTTTGCCGGCAAACTGAGGTCGTTGGCAAAGTAAAAATGATAGGAATCATGGGAATGTGTCTTAATTTTCGCTTTCCTTAGTTGCTAAGCTTTTAAATGCAGAGGAAAAAAATTGTGAAGTAATCTAGGAAGTAAATTAGCCGGGTGTTCGGTAGCCTTTCATCAATTCCTTTGGTTTTTATGTTTAAAAAAAGAAAAAGAAGAAGCAATTACAAGCTTTTTGAAGGACTTCCTGTAAGAGATGAAACCTATAAGTTACAAATCCATAAGAGATTTCCAAGGAAGAATAAAGTTATTTTTCCCTTTTCCTGCTCTGTTTTTGTACGAAGGGTTCCTTGTCATGGCAGACTTCGAGTTACCAAATCGTAAAGGTAAGGCGATAGATAGCTACACTATCTGCAACCATTTTTAGTTCTTGTATACTTTTCTTACCAGCGAAAGTAAGTGACGAATGGATTACTCAGACATCCATACGACCAGTACTTAGTTTCTACTAAACACTTTTCCATCATACGGTCCCATAAGCCTTCTTTATCGAAGGCAAAAATTAAACTAAAATCGAACCTCTTCGTTGAGAATGATTTTACGATAACCATTACGTGTGTTAAGACTTCATTTTCTCTATTGGTGGTTATGCTGTAGTCCTTGTGTCCAGGTTATCTTATAAACAGAAATGCTTGCGTAAAAGAAAAAATTTATCATAAAATTCTTTCTAGAAGCATCGAGTCATCGAATTGCTAAGAAATAATAACCGGTTAGTTGGAAATCATATCAATCTCAAAAGTCTTTCCAGCAAAATCATAAAGTAAAGTTTAGGTTGTTTTGAAGTCTTGCAGCTCGCTAAGCAGCTACGTTAAGCAGATTCTAAAAATTTATTGCCGTCAAAGAGTTTAAATTATGTGAACCATAAAAGTTAAGAATGAGACTGAATATGAAATTAATGAAAGTTCGTTTAAAGTGCATTCGGAGGTAAACGAAATCACGTTCATTAGGTCAACATGAAATGTTCAAGGGTAACCTTTAGGCGTCAAGATTTCCGGTTCATACGCAAACTGGCAAAGTCTGCTTTACGGTAAGGATAATATCTGTTCCCGTAATTGTTAGTTTTGTGTCGCCACCTCACCCTGTATCTTGTAGATAAGATCTTTTAAAGTCTTTTTGTTAAGTTGCTTGTAAAATTTTTATTATTAACGGGAGGTTCTTTTTATGGAATATAACAAACAACCTATTGGACTATGATTTTTGTCTCTTGCGCTTCTCTGGCTTTGAAATAGTTAAGTGGGGCGTTCGCCTGAATTTTCCGGCACTTGTATTATGTTTAAATTTCAATCTACTTCTTCGTTTGTTGCCTTATGAACACGTGACGGGGTTTGTTCGACTTCTTTTCTCAATTTATCATTAAATTTTTATTTATTTATTTATTTTTTTTTTCATTATAATCGATTTTCTCTTCAGTCGCGTTCCATTTTAATGTTTCTTCAGCAATTTTCATCATTGCTAATGCAATGATATTTTTCATTTTCTGCTGCCCCTCATTCCCCTCATGCTCTGATTTCCATTCCATATTTAGGGCTTTAGCACCCATATATTTTGATTTTCACTGCTACCTTACTCATACACTGATACCTTACATATATATATTCCCTCTCAACCCTAACCATAGAAAATTCATTAAAAAATTTTTAGGTCTGCTAGGAAAACGCGTAGAGTTCGCTTAAGCAGGGAAAAGCAGAGGCAACAAAATTAAACAACAAGAGGAGATGTTTTCTCATTATAAATATTTCTTTTTCTTCTGCTTCTTCTCTATATATCAACTTTTATTTATTTTGTTTTTGTTTTTTTTTGTTTTCTTAACATTTACTTTACTCCTTTCGTAATTTATGCAAAAACAAGTTAACACAGGCGGCGATGGCGGCGGCGACGCCAGCAATAGCATCAGTAGTCATATTATTAGTTGTAATGTATAATAAAAGAGTGAAGCGGGTGTGAGAGGAGAGCAAAGGAAAAACATGAACGGAAAAACAACAAGACAAGAACTTCAAGTGTACTTTTTTTTTTCTCCAAACAATATAAAAACAACAACAGCTACCGTGAGTTCTTTTAGAAAGTTCAAATATTTTAAGCAAAAAAAAGAAAAAACAAAAAAAAACCAACAACAAGAGAAATATGCGCGCGCTAACAAAAAAAAAAGGAATCCTTTTCCTTTATAGCTAGCTGTTCGAAAGCTGTAGAATGAAAA